CAAAGTACCTAGAATAATACAATGAAGGTGCAGAACGGTAGTTTCTGATACATAAATGTCTGACATAGAAACTCTGTAGAAAAGACCAGCATTCCTCAAAGTCAGCATCTCTTTCAGCAGATAACATGTCAGCTCTTTATCAGCTGAGGTTCTTCAAAGAGAGGACCATGAGTCCAAAACTTTGGGTTGGTCCTTTGCAAGGAAGTGAATTTCCCCCCCGCCCTCCATTGGAAGAGAAGTGATGTATGTGAAAATAGGTCTTTCGTTTTAAGCACTTTTGCCTGCTTTGAGTTATTTCTACTGCCTAATCTGGACCATAGAAATGGAGAGTAATGTATTGAGTTGGTCAGATAACCTGTGGAGAGTTCATTTTGCCAGAAGAGGTGTTCATCTGTGGCATAGCACGTAATGAGAGGACGTGTACATACAGTGCTGGAATCACAGTGGTAGCTCACCCTTGATGGTCTTCCTTGTGACAGCATTGTGTCTAATGTCCTTGAACTCTCAGTGCACAGGACTGTCATCCTCCTCCCCTTTTCACCTCTTGGAGTTCTCGGTACCTTGTTGCACCAGAATATGTGTGTCGTTTTAGGACGCCGTGGCTGTTGAAGATGTGGCTGTGGACATTTCCCCAGAAGAGTGGGCCTTGCTGGATCGTTCTCAGAGGAATCTCTACATATATGTGATGATCGAAACTTTCAGAAACCTGGTCTCAGTAGGTATGAATCCATTTCCCTCTACATGTAGAGTGATCAAATCAGACATACACGTTGTTATTCCTCCAGTATGTGGTCCTGATAATGGAAAAACCTTGTTATATCAGGCAAGTACAATCAGTTTCACTCAATAGCATGCATGTCATGGCTTCCCCATGAACACAAAGCTCTCAGTATTAAACGGAATTTTTATTGTATTTGTGACTAAGAGCCTTAAGTTCAAGTGCAGTAAATATGCACTTTGACCTTCCTTGGTGCACACCGAATGGATGTATCTGTTCTAATCCTTGTGAAGGCTGTGTTTATCAAAAGTTTAACGTTACATTGATTTTCCTGTCAATAAAACCCTTGTCAAAAACGTCAACCTGTGAGGCACAAAGTATTTTCTCAGTGTCAGAGCAGTGTTGCTGCTGTTTCAGCGTTTCTCTATGATCTGTCGTTTTCAGAGAAACAGAACTATTGTCACCCATATGTATGAGAGAGAGCTTTATATCAAGAAGTAATCTTTTATCAAGAAGATATCCCAGCCCAGTCCAACTGAATTCCATAGGTGTAAGCCAGCGTGTTCCTTCTATACTTATGTCCAGCAAGCTGATCATGCAGAATGGTGAATCCTAGGCTTGGTCATAGGCTTAAATCAGGGGATCTTAGGCTTGATCATAGACTTAAATTCAGACTTGCATGGATCCAAAATCGGTGGAAGCACGCCAGTTTGCTAACGGAGTTCTGGGTGGAGTGGACTGTAGCTGGTAACCCATGAATGAAGGCACAGAGTCTCACCAAATGGGAAGACAGGGCAGTAGAGAAATTAAGTCTGTTCATCTTTTAGTATGCAAAAAGCCACACCCCCAAGGAGGCATAACCCAGCTACACTGGATTGAAAGATTTGACTTCCTCAATGCAAGAACACTTTGTTGTATTAAACTGGCACTCCATCATGCTCACCTTCCTGACACGATCTCTGACGACAAAATGGATGTATAAACAAATGTGGTGAAGAAAGCTGATGGTGCCCGGCTATAAATAGTATGGCATCTTAAAGGCTTGAAGATAAACAAACAGCCATCTAGCTGAGAAGCAACAAAGGCCACATGGAAGAAGCACACCAGCCTGTGTGACCACGAAGTGTTGAAGGGATCAGGTATCAGGCATCAAAGAACAAAAAATCAAATCATTGTGAATGAAGGGGAATGCAATTGGGGAACCAAGATTAATCTGTAGGCAACTGGACATCCCCTTACAGAAGGGTCCCGGCGATGAGATGAGCCAGTCAG